CCCTCTATATCTCTGAAACCAATCGTATGCTCATCGTAAAATTTTAATGTGATTAATGTCTTATCATGAGCTATCATTTGGTATATAAAATTTATTTGAAAAATCGAGGACCCAAAAACGGGCATTTTTTGCACCCTTTTTGCGATTGTTCTTTGTTTGGATACGACAAAATTTATTGAATCCAAGGAAATCGTTTTCTTTGTGCATACAAACAAAACCAGGGACAGATGACTTTATACAGAAAAACAAAGAGAAAAATATCACTTTATACATATTGTAATTAAGATTAGTAAACCGTTGGCTGAGGGATCCACTTAATATAGTGCACGATTTATCCATTCATATTTTATAAACTTTATATATTGAGAGACCCATTTTGTTGAATGAAATAAAATTTAGTTGACTTAACTGAATTTCTTGTTTGGATATGGGCAAACAAATCTTTCAGTTGAACTACCTACAACAAAAAATTTAGTTGAAAAATTTGGTTATATCACACACAAAGGTTGAGTAAACATGGGCAGAATCTCTGATGTATAATATTCAACTAAATTAACGATTTAGTTTCACTCAATAAATACAATTTAGGATGTGATGAGATGGACGAATTTGTTATCTCAACCATAAAATTTCGTTCAGATAAATAACTCCATGGAAATAAAATAGTTTGTTGTTGTACCATTTAACTTCTTTTCAGCAACATATATTTCGTTTTATACATCCAAATTACATGTTCAGTCAACAAAATGGTTCAAATTATTTCGTTTTATTCAACAAAATGGGTCCCTCAGTGTAACCGTCTAATAATTGATTTTTTCGCAATAAAGCTTACGACATTGATATAAAAAATAACATTATAAAAAATTAGTATCTTTTAGCGAAGCACCATAAAGATACGTAAATATGACACGCAAGAGATAAAAATATACTAGATACTAACAATATCTTTTTGATATGACACAATTGATAAGGAAAGAAACCAAGGAGAGAAAAAATGTTTTTTTATAATACATTTATTTCCAAAATGTCAAATTACATAAGGCAACATGAAGAATAGATATAAAAGAGCTTTCATTATCTCGGAAAAAATGTTGTGTCATGTCGAAAGTACGTGATAAAGAAGGGTGTAGTATAAAACATATAAATTTTATCAATCAATGTCATAAACATGTTATCTTCTATTTGCATGCCCTTGACCAAGTATACTAAACTATCAGTTTTACAATATCATATTTATAGATGACTTTGGATATCAGCAAAATATGGCGGAGATAAACACGAAAACGCGTGTAATGATATAAATGATATGATATCTAGTTATTTGCGATTCTTTTACGATCTAGTCTTACTAAGAAATTATGTCTGCAAACATTTGTATAATTAAAAATTACTTAACTCTTTTGTAATATAAAATATATCAATTGTATTTTATTAATTTAAATTTGTTTTTTAAATTAACGATAAAATTCTTTGGTTTTATTTATCGCCGTAATTGGTGTACTTATTTAGTTTAACTAGATTAGTTAACTATTCCCGTGAAAAGTATTACATCTTACATATGGTGTTTCACGTGAAATATATTTACTATATACATATAGTCGAATGTAATTATATGTATGTATTCTCTAACATAAATTTTAATGTAGTATAGGTTCTTTTTTAATGTGAAAGATTATTTGATAACAAATATCGTATAAACAATAATAACAGTTAAATCATGAACCGCTATAAATCAATAAGAATTGAGGTACGAGCAAAATGTAGTTAGCCCAATGGTTTTATTGTGTAAATTTTTATATTCGTGATTTTTTAAAGTATGTGAATTTTTAATGTTCCACCAAAGAAACAGTTTTAAGACCGATAGTGCTTAACGTGCAGAACGTAACGAAAGCAGTATATAAAAATTCACACAATAAAACCATTGGGCTATCTACATCTTGCTCGGACCACATTGGTCTTCTTAGACTAGTATTCATAGTCAGATTTTATATTTAAGACCTCCTTGAATTTATTTAAAGATGCTATATGGAACATTTTATTTGGCTATGGAGTATCTAAAGATGATAATAAAATGATATTAAATATAAGATCTCACTATGAATATTGCCCTTAATTCTTATTGAATATCTTATAACTTTGTTACTATGGCAGATTGTTTGTTTCATATCTTTACTATTATCATGTAGACATTTTTTTTAAAACCGATTTTTGTATCACATGTAATGGATATCGTATTCTATTAAGACAAAATTACTCATATCAATGTTCCCATAGGCCTATTAATAATGATGTGTTCTACATAACATTTGATATATTCTCTCTCCCCCCCTCTTCCCCTCTCTTCCTGTCTCCTCTCGTATTTGAAAGCTTAGTAATTTTAAAATTCCATGTAATTTTTTTATTATTGTCGCGCTATTAAATTATCTGTTTTGGATAAGTTATTAGTTGATGCAATTTAGGTAAACAGTTTTACGCATTGCAAAGATGAAGACAAATATTTTCGCTTCGCAAGCATATTGTAACGTATATAATAATAACAGAATAGTGCAAAAACACATAGTTAATCCATACATTATTCAAGAAACAATATATTTCTCAACAGAAAACAAAAGTAAAACTTCTACCTTAATTTATTAAGAATTCATTAACGATTCTGCATCGCAAATATTTGAGGCTCGTTTTACATTTAATTAAAACTATAATACAATTTTGCAATAATTAATTAATCTGTGATAAAATAATTATTAATTTTATCAATAATTATCAAAAATGAAATATAAAATGACACAAGACATATAAAAAGAATAATTTTCTTGTACTAGACGATTTACATCAAGTATCAGTATTTTGAACAAGTTTAATTAGTTTAATAAAATTAAAAGGCAACAAAATGTGTTCTTTCATACACGCACGCGCGCACACTGTGTGCACACTTACATAAAATACAAAAGAAAGTACTGTTATTTGTTAAAAATATACACGATAAATAAAAAGAGTAGGTACTATTCTTCATAAAATAAAAAAATTTAGTCTTTTAAAAATTAACTACATTATCTACTAAAATGTATTTACTAAATTAATTTAAATTCTGAATACATATATCTAAAATAATTCTAGAAAACAAAACAAAGTTTTCAATATCTTATTGTTGTTTCATTGACGTTACTAAATTAGAAATATCTTATCAGAGTAGCAAAGTTTACGTTTACGAAGCTTTTACAAAGAATCCAATATCTTGTTCGAAGATTTAATAATTCTATTCGTGAACAGAATTCATAAAGAACATTTTGTATTTCAGTAAATTCTTCAAAGCAATATAAAAATAATTACCCACATAACTACAATATGAATTTAATGCTTTATTTCAAAGATTATAAACTCAAATTATTTCAAAGATTATAAACTCAGAGAGATATAAAACTATAGCAGTATACTTGTATAGCATATCTTAATAAGTTATATATTTAAAATCTATGATCTGATGTATGGTGTCTCATGTTTTTGCATTATTCGAATACTTCTACATTAGATAATTTGTTAATGTACACCTGTAAATTGATTAACAATCGGTAGGTATATGTAAGAAAAATTCGCAAGCATTACATATCTTACTTCACTTCAATGTAAGATTAATAACATATTTAACACGTCTGGCACTAATCTTAAAATATATTATTTTTATACATGGCAATATACATAACAAAGGCAATCAACGGAAAAATATTAGTTATCGAACTAATGTATAAACTATTCGAAAACAAATATCGTGTCATAACAAATTATAGAAAGTTTATAAAGTATCACACTTAATAAATATCTCGCATATTCATAAACTATATCTATCAGGTGGTAACATAATTCATAAAACTTGTAATTTTCTTCCATGCGTTCCTATTAGAGCTTCCTAGTACACATGTACTAGACTACACGTATAACCCGTGTATTTAACTTATTCATGTTTTAACCCGTGTACACGAATTTAAAGAATCTTTATTTACGACATTTACGTGAATCCGTGAACACGTGAATGCGTGACACGTGTTCACGAATATCCGTGAACGTGACATGTAAATGTGTAGCCGTGTATACCTCAATAGAGAAATATTTAGAGAATTATGTGACAAAATCTGGATAAAACTTGGAATGTTGGAATTATGCGTATACATATTATATGTCGAACAACAACAAATTTTGATAAATAGTTGCACACGTTTACATGTATCACACATATACGGATATTCGGGTACACGTGTCACATACACGAATATTCGAATACACGTGTCACATACACGATTATACGTGCACACGTGTCACGTACATAGGTACACGTGAATAAAGGTATCTTAAGTCCTTGTACACGGATTACGTGTACACGTGAATCTTAAAACACGTATCTAATCGAAAGCTCTGTATCATAGGGACTCTCTATAATACAGAGTTTATTATACTACATACAAATGTCGATTACCTAATGTTTAGTACAAACAAGTTACTTTCCAAAACGAGCAAAGACAAACGTTCGTCTCGTGTAACTCGATGCAGAGCGATTACCAAATTATACGAACGATATAAAATGATCGATTTCCATAGACTTTGCAACATTATTGTATCGTTTTTCCGTTATCACAGATTGTTTTGGTGATAGGCCCGTTTGCAATATCACATTCTAGAGAAGGCCTACAATCGACTAGAGCATTTTAGTAAAATTTGTTGGAATTCTGCGCTAAACTGCCGTCATGTTTCTAACGTTGGGAAGAGTCTCGTTAATACGAAATAGGCCACATCGTAGTTATTCCAATATGCCGTATGTGCTGTTACGGTGTATAAATAATTCCTTCCTAAACCAACGGCACGTAGCACGTAATCCAATCGTTGCGCTAATTCTAATGATGCAAAATATATTTGTACATAGTTTATAACACAGAGAAAGTTTCTGTATACAGAATGTCTCCTAAGAAGTGGACCCAGTTCAGTGGACAAAAGACAAAAATAATAATAAAAGTTCATATAAACGTATGTTCTATTCAACCTCGTTTCTGAATATGTTTGTATTTTAGTACTTAAATGCAATCGTCAACCTATCATAAAATACAGCACTCTTTCAAAAATATCAAGTGTTTGTAGCATTCATTGGCAGTCTTCTTATATGTATACAGTGACGAAGTAGTGTCAATGTAAGCAATGGAAAAGAAATAAACAAGTGTTTTCAAGTGACTTCACAAGTAAACATTTAATAGATTTAACGTTTGTATTTCTGTAATTTCTCTCTTTTTATTTTAAATATATTCCTTATTGCGCACGTGTATGTCTTATTTAACTCTAACAGCTTTTGATTTAAATAATTGTTGTCGGAAAGTCTTTTTACTTATTGTTAATAGATTTAAGTCTGGGGAATATACAGGCCAACCAATAGATTCTACACGATCCATTTGTTAGAAAATCGTTACGTTACTGGCTTATTTTATATAAACATGACTATAACTCGGAAACAAGGTCGAATAAAATACTAGTTTATGTGAACTTTTATTGTTATCTCGTGTCCTGTCCACCCTTGAAGTGAATCCATTTATTATGGGACATCCTGTAATATCGTATATAATCACCTTGTCCTGGACGGATTGGTGGATTTGAGTCTGGTGTCGGCGAAGATGGACCTTCTCTAACGTTCCAACCACCTCGCACTAAGTCCCAAAGGCTCCAGCCCTTTTCTGCATTACGATTGGGCGGACTATCTACTGGACTATCATCTTTATCATCATTTTCTGTTAATACACATAATGATACCGTATTATTTTCAATACATTTAGTTAAGATTTAGTTTTAAATATCCGCGTTGAAGGTGGCGCCAGAGCCTAGCGGTAGAAATAAGAACCGTCGAACAAATCTTAAAGATCGTTTACAATAGATTAAGTAAGCCTGACGTAAGAAGTAAGAGTAGGAGTACAGAAATGAATCGTTCACATTTCTTACTCTTATTTCAGCTCTGACGCTTACTCTCGGCGAATTAGAGAGCAGTTCGACCAGTGCTATAAATATTTTTAAAAATTATGCCTGTACTTTAACTTTTACACTGATAAGTAGAGATTATGTTTTTTTTACGGCTTACTTTCAATGTAGACGGTCCTTTACAGAGTACCACATGAAATATTAACATATTGGTAACCCTATTTTGTCGTCCGCTTTATTTCGTTATTATTCGCTGTTCACTTATTCTGTAACGTGCAACGTATTCAGAGAACTCATAAAATTGGCCGATATATAAAATTTGCAAGGAATACACACGTGAAAGATACATTTTCAACTCCTTTCGATGGTTGTCAAACGGCGTGTTTTTGCTACATGTTTAGGCTTTGTTTTACGACTTTTGGTAAACTGTCAAGAGAAAAGGATAGTTATCGGCCAATTTTACAAGTATTCTGCAACGATCTGTCGTGTGTTTTCACCCAAACATTTTTTTATTTAAACGTACACCGGACGATTTTTCTACGTGTCATTTCTCGCTTCTGACGTCACGATTTCAACATGCAGTGAGCACCCAGGAGCCTTAAGGGAATACTGCAGTGATTCTGCACGTTTGCACCTTTTGCACTTAAAACTGTCTGTTTCGTGGAAATATTTGTGTAATATACAAATTAAATGGCTCACGTGTACAGATCGAAAGCAGCTTGCTATTCCGGCTAAATTAAAGAACAGTACGACATTACTGAAATTAAGTTTGTAAGTCTAATAAAAAATAATAGTGAGCAACACACATACTACATGTACTGTATATGTATGTTGCTCACTATTATTTCTTATTAGACTTACATACTTAGTTTCAGTGATGCCATATTGTTCTTTCATTTAGCCGGAATAGCAAGCTGCTTCCGATCTATAAATGTAAGCCACTTAATATATATTCGTATATTACGAGTACACAAATTTTGTTAAACATCTATACGGGTGAACCAGAAAGGTTATCCCAATCTTTTACCATGAGAGATGGATTACCGTCTGTAACTTTGGTAAACTGATCGACACACTGGCAGCTGCTTAGATCGAACGTGATGGACAGTCAAGTTAAAGATTTATTCAAATTACAGACCTGCACGGAGTAAAATAATTCGCTGGCATTGTATATTTTATGTTGTTCCAAGTCAATTATATCAGTTATATGGACAGCTATGTTATTTGTTAAGAACACTAATACTATTAATAAATAATTTTTGTCAATTATCAAATTATTTAATTATAAAAAGAAAATAATTTCTGTTCTACTAAATACCTTTTACTGTAATATTGAATAATTTGAATAAGTTATAATACAGAAATTTTGTTGTCATCAAATATGCAACATTAGTAGCAACAATAGTTGCGCTGCAACGAACTTATAGTTAAATAATTTGATAACTGAGAAAAATTATTTATTATTTATTATTATATTAATAGTACTAGTGTTCTTAACGAATAACATGGCTGTCCATATAATAACTGACATAATTGATTTAAGACCATAGAGATATAAGAATAGAGTGCGTGAGCTAAAAAAGCGATGTAGTAATAGTAAGAGAAAATTGCAAAAAGGCCCCTTCTGTCTTTGTCTTTGCCAGCCTTTGCGCATGTGCAGACATAAGAAGACTGATCTCTGTACAAAGGCGTATGCGTGACTGAGAAGGATAGAAGGGGCCTATATGCAGCGCTCCTTTTCTATACCTGTATCGCAACCGTTTACGCGATAGCATATGACTCGCGCACTCTATTCTTATATCTCTATGCTTGAGATAGCCTAAAAATAAAAACCAGCAAATTATGTTACTCCGTGCAGGTTTTGTAAATTCAATAAGTTTTTAACTTGTCTGTCCAACACGGTCGGTCCAAGCAGATGCCAGTGTGACAGTCAGGTTTGCAGTCCGTAATCCATCTCTCATAGTGAAAGGTTGGAACAGCCTTTCTGGTTCACTCTGTATAGACTGTTTAAACATTCAGATTTCTTGCCTACTTTCGTATCATTTATCTCAATTTAATTTAGATCGATTTGAACTGATAATGAGTATTTATTATATGCATAGTAATACATATGTAAAATATTAATAGACTAGACAACACAAGCGCGAGCTTCGCGTGCTCTCCATTTGCTCTCTCTAAAAATTCGCATGGTTTGACAGCTGCAAATAACACTACTGAAGCATGTCGTATCGCACAAGCGAGCCAATCAGCTCGGAAGAGCGACAACAATACTTCGAGACTTTCGACTTTTGACTATCGACTTAACACGCCTTTTTTATATAGGAAAATCTTAATATCTATAGAATAAATTCTAATATAGCGTTTTATACAGCTCGATATTTCAGAAAATAAGTGTAAAGTTCAAAACAAAAAATGTCATCAGTGAGCTAGACTTTGTATTCCGAGTTTTAAAACGCATCATAATAGTATATTGTGATACATGTGCGGGAAATTGACTATTGGCCACGAGTAGCGGGTGGGCAATAGCCAATCTCCCGTACATGTATCACATACTATTTTATATTATAAGTGCACGGAAAAGTACCTCTTTTTTGACAGTTACGTGTAAAAACTTTGAGGCTATCCTGTCATCTGTCGAAGATGACGTGTGGAAGAGAGATCGGCAATTGTGCTGGGAGATAAACAAAAACAGCGCTAAAGTGTGCGGTAATAATTTTACCGCACGGCTTTTTCCGCACAGTTGACGCCATGTTGCGTGCAAACTGTATTGTGTCGGCAAATGTCTATTTTGGGCACGAAAAACTGTCAAAAAAGGGGCACTTTTCCGTGCACGTGTGATATGAAAGGTCATACCAAATAGTAACAAAAGTGTAACAAAAGAATGAAATACCCGTAGGCGGTAGAGTTGGATCCACGTTGTTCAGCGATGAAGGCGACTGTGGCATTTGTTGACCATCAACTCCTCCATATGGTGGTATCAAAACTGGCTCGATTTTACTGTAACCTCTTTCCAAAAGCGGTTCCATTCTGTATGCCACCGGATCGGACCAGTGAAATATATTGTAGAATCTATTGCATAAACCTTGTGGCATCATGTCTAGTCTGTTCGATGGAGTACGTGTACGCAGTGCCAAGAACACAGACAACGGCGAACCCAGGCAAAACAAGTTCTCAATCTGTACCAACGGGAAAACGATTGAAATGATTTACGTTAGTAACTTTTGCAAACGCAATTTATATAATTTAACTTGGCCTATCTTGTCATGTATACACAAAGAATTGCGGATTACTCACGGGAAATTGTAGTCCTTGAGATAAGACTTCTTGAGCCTGTGGACATGGCAGCTGTGTATCAGGTCCTATCCAGCCTGTAACTATGTCATATACAATCACACATCCTAGGGAGTGCGCTAAAATCGAGACCTTTCCTTGCCAACCAGGATGTCGACTCGCAAACATAAAGTACAATCTATTCAGCTCCTTTTGCAAACCAGCTCGGACCTCAGCACCATATAGAGGACTTGTATAGTACAAAATATCCATTGCCGATGCATTTAGTAAGTGACGTATGCTCAGTACACTATAAGGTGTAATTGCGTCTACTATATCTATAAAAGAAAAGATTACACATTCGGTAAATTAAATAAATAATCACTCTGTAAAATATTCGTTTATTAAGTATTAATCAAGTTTATTAAATATTTGTTTATAACCTCCATCCAACTTTAATGATGACCGCCATTCAACTGGGAAGAATTCCTCTCTGTGTTTAGAATTTGGAAAATATTTCTGCTTAAGCCAATCCACGCAATCTCTGAAACTGTTAATTTATTTGTACTTAAAAAAACAACATTATTTTATAAAAATACGTATTACATATTGCATAAGAATACTTATTGCTTTTATTTACCATGTGGTGTTGCGTATAATCTTTCCAGTATCTCGCTTTTGTCCTATTCCGTGAACAACAAATACTAGATGGTCAATATCACGCGGCTTATCCTCCATACTCGTACGCGCTTTATATCCCCTTTTTAATCGGTAGCCTGTTGCTGCCAATTTTAAATAAAAAACGATTATTTATGTAATAAAACATAAAAAACAAAAGTGGCCTAAATGTGTTTTGTTGTTTCTAATTCTGAACTTACTTTTAGCAAAACCCAATTTTGACGTAACGCTACGCATTAACTTGGTAGGAGTATATTCACTATATAGTGTTACATCGTTAATCGAATGCCAGTCGACGTGAAATTCAGAGAACTGCTCAGTATGTAACACTAAAAGTGTGATAAGAAACGCTTTAATATTAATTGCATGCATAAGTAGACACCACACATGTGTATTAAACAAATTGAGAGACATCAAAAGAATAAAAAGAGCACCTTTATAGGATTGAGGAATATTTGTATCGCACGTAGTAGTAATACTTTGATCAGTACTTTCCTTTTGAAATAATTTAAGATGCACCTCTTCTATTACTTTGGAATGTTCCGTTTCCAACGGTATCCAACTGCCATCGTAATACCATGTACCTCTCATAATTTCCCACTCCTCACCTTCAACAAAAATTCATGCGGTTTGTTATGTACATATACACTGTAATGTCTTGGATATCTCATGCGTGAGTCACGGCCAACAAATTCTGTATAAACCTGAACGTTAGCTACTTAAGTTCTAGCGCTATTTATTTAAACATGTAATTGTATTCAATAGCTAAAAAATAATTTCGCAATAATATTAGCAAGATTATATTCGTAAATGTAATAATATGTAATCATTTATTATTTTAAAAGTTGTAAAATATTTTTAAAATAGCAAAATGAAAGTTCTAAGACTCTTATCTGATGCAAATACCAACGGATAAAAAACAAATATGCACGGAAAAAACTGTTCGATTATAGCAACCAGAAATATTCAGTTGGTACAGATTCAGTTGCAGTAGCATCTAAGGCCCGGGCTCACAGTGGCTAGTTAGCTTAACTAGTTGTTAAGTAGTGATGCCAACCACTGATACAAAATTCGGTAAGCTATTTACAAGGTTAGATTTTGACAAGTCGCATTTTCGCAAATAAGCTTTAAAAAAATATATATATTGATATATTTGTGAATGATATATTGATGTATATATACAACATATAGTGTGTATATGTATATATACACATATACATAACCTTGTAAATAGCTTACCGAATTTTGTATCAGTG